AGGGTATTCATACTGATGTGACTTAAGAATACGCTGTAGGCTTTTATGAATGAGACTTGTTCACCTATTTTAAGCTAATGTCACTGCAAGGTTACCTCTCTTCTAGTCTAGCCCTACATGTCCAGAATTCTAGTGTAAATTCACAGTAGTGTTATCAAATACATGAGGCATTTCAGCCAGACTTACTAGACGTTCAAGCTATCAGACCTGCTTAGTTTAAACGGGTTCTAGTTCAGTGTGGTGTTTAGTATGATCTGTTTCTTCTGGAAGATGGAGGGGGGGAGAAGCACTTGGACAGCAGGTGAGGGGCACAGGATGGATGGAACTTTCCTTAGCCCTGTGGTGGGATTGAAGTTGCAGAGAAGCAGCATTGCCACTTGTCTTGTTCCCGTGTTGGTGGCGCAACAGCCCAGAACAGTGGCTTCAATCTCCCCTCTTCTTTCCTTCCAGATTGCTCAGCTGCCCATGAAACTGGAATCGGAAGTGATGGAAAATGGGGAAAACTTCTCTGTGGGGGAGAGACAGTTACTGTGCATAGCCAGAGCCTTGCTGCGTCGCTGTAAGGTGAGTGTCTGCGGGAAGGGAAAGAGCTGGAGAGGTCACAGTCACTGCAGCATGAGAAGACTGCTCTCCAGGGCCAAATTCATCCCTGTTCTAATTCCATTGATGTCAAGGGAGTGACACCAACAGTTAATGTGACCCACAGAGTAGGTGGGGTCAGGAGAGTGGGGAAGGCATTCCTTAGGCAGATGTCAGTTCTTCAGGACTCCCTACGATCCATACGTCTCCCAAGTACTGTATCCAGAGATTTCTTACTTGTTAACAGCTAGAGTCTTAGGCTGTCCTTGTGGCTTAGCCCCGTGCGCGAGAGCACTAGGTTCCGTCTCCCTCCCTTTGCTAGAGCTCGCCAAGATTGTTGCAGCGCTGATACTTTACATGGCTCCATTCGCCCTGACGGTATCGAAGGCTTTTGCTTGTGGTGGAAGGATCACTTCCCCTTCCACTTAAATGTAACCCCTAGAAGTGGAACATGGGACCAGTGCTGCCAAAATTATCCAGGTTTTTGCTCCTTTAGGAGGGGAAACTGAAGAATAATTTCAGTGAAGAAAGGATTTTAGGTAGCTCAGAACAGATGGACCCAAGTGGAACTTGACCAGGACTCAGGGCTAAACTGCCTTTTTCTTTTTAAAAAGTGGCTCTCGTTGAGTTTTCACATCCTCAGTTTTTATATCTCATCAAAAAATGGCACCTCCATCAGCACAGTGCCCCCCACCGCCTTCCCACCTTCATCCCACCACTCAGGCCATCAGATTCAGTGCAAGCTTGGAAGGACCTGTGGTCTCCGCTAAGATCCCCACACCTCTCTCTGCAGTACCCTGGGTTTCTCTTGTATCACATGAAATACCAATGATGCCCACCTAGCTTAGCCAATGAGATTTGATGAGCTGTCATTCCAGTAGTGTGGTTGTCTGGATCTGAAGAGAAAGAGGATGTCCTTGTTTAACAGCGATCCCCTTTAGGCTACTAAAGAGCAATATTGGCTAACTCCAGATGGGAGTAGCAACATGGAACCTTGAGAGAGGGAGGTATCCTCAGAAGGGGAATAGTGTCTCTGAATTGTAGTACTGTGTATGAAAACTTCGAAGCAGAGACTAAAGGGAACAATAAATACTATGCGAGTTGCCGTGTTCGAGCTATTACCATAGATAGGTGACAATGAGGGCATGGGCTTGAGCTAAGCGAGGGCCGGATGGTGGGAAAAGGGAAGGAATCTCTTCCTTTCTCAGGCTAGCTAGTGAGAGCTGCTACAAGGTAGGCACCAGCATTAATGGAGTGAGCAGGCCCACAGCACAATGCTTTTTAGTCCCAGACAGCTGATTGACGATGCAGACTTCCTAGCCTCCATTCATCTCATCCTCTCTCCAAAAGCCTTCTCCTGAGAGTGCTGGAGGTGCTGGTTCCATCAGGAATAGTTCACTGGTTAAAGTTCAAATCTGAGATTCAGATGTGGAATATAAAACTGAACGAGATTGATGTCTGAGTCCTATGCCACGGCCCCTCCTGTTGTAGGGCTGTGGGACAGGCGATCGTAAAATGCTCCCAGCAAACAAGGCCCAGGGAGTGATTGCGTCCAAGGCAGTTACACAAGATGCAAGAGGCATTGTTAGGATTATCAGTCACCCTTGTTGTCATGGCAATCAGCAGGATTGTCTTCGGACTGCGCTGTGTGCCTGTGTCCTGGGGGGGGAGTGGGTTAGCTATAATGTAACACCCTGCATTATGTGCCATTTGCAGGTTTTGATACTAGATGAAGCAACAGCTGCTATGGACACAGAGACCGATGTACTGATTCAGGAGACTGTCCGGGAGGCGTTTGCAGACTGCACTATGCTAACAATTGCTCACCGCCTGCACACGGTGCTGGGCTCCGATCGGATCATGGTGCTAACACAAGGACAGGTAATTAGTCGCACTTTGCCTTTGGGGCTGGCATTGTAGATTGCTTTGGCTCTAGGTATAGCCTGCTTGCTGGTGCTGGTTACATAGCCAGGCTGAGCTTCTCTCCCCACAGTGTGGAAAGCCATGGTACATGTGGCTGTATGTTCTTTCACCCCTTGGCAGTAGTTCTCTGTGTTGGAATAAGGGACTGCTCCTCATGACAAGATCAAAGGGAATGAATTTTCCTTCTCCCGCTTTTCCTCAAAACACACCAAACCCATTTAGAAGCAGGTATGTAGGAGCAATCTCATCACTTGGAAACTCCACAGGCAGATTAATTCCAGCAGGTGTAAGAGCTGCCTGCATCTCCGTAGGGTTCAGTGCCATTTGCCCTAGCGCTGTTGTGCAGCCCTACAGTAATAACTGGCTGTGAGAGACACGCGTCAGGCTTTCATATGGGGGCTCTATACAGTAAACTCCAAATGTGAAGAATACGGTGAGGTCCTAGAAGTCAGAGAAGGAAAGACCCGTTGGGTCCCACCAAGTCTGTCTGTCTGAGCCAGTGCAGGGCTGCTCACAATTGTACATTCCTAGTGTTTTGTCCAGTCTCAGTTGAAATGTTCCAAGAGACAGGACATCTGCACCCCTGACCCCCAGGAACCTAGTCCACAGCTGGATCAATCTCCTCTTAGGAAACTTTTTTTTCCCCTGAAGTTTAGCTTACATTTTCTTAATTTCCCCCCATTCCTCCAAGTTACACCCCTGCCTAAGTAATTCCTATCCCTGCTTGACGTTTACCCCCTTCAAATATGTATAGACTGTTACCATGCCACCTATCATTGCCCTGCTGCTGGGGGTCAGAGTTTGCTCTTGCACTCTGGGCCGGTAGGGAGCTGGGAGCACTGTTTCTCATTAAAACTCTAGCTGGCACGTGGAGCAGGAGCCACGTCTAGGCTTTTAAGGCTAATTTGGTGAAGGCACCAAGAGGCATCTGTGCCCTCTGAGTAATCATGTGCTCTTATTGTTGCCTTCATCCATTGCTGAGTGCTCTTCATTCCTCCCTCTTTGTCCTGTGCCACTCATTTATGTCAGAACAATGCTCCTAGGGCAGGGACTCTTTCTTCCTGTGGGGCTGGGTGCTTGGCAAAAAATAATAATGGAAACTCTTGATGGTGGTAAGAAAATGAAAGAGGGAAGCTAATGGAACACAATTTAAAGTCTTAAAAGCAGATGCCATTAGTAGGCTAAAGCCAGATCTGCAAAAGGAGACCTGGATAATGAACCAGGAGGCTGTCAGCTGTTGCAGTCTTCCTAGCATGTGGGCATCCATGGAATGATTTGGAAAAAAAAGATGCTGAGCCAATAAGGGGTGCCCCAAACTTGGCATTATGCAGTCTGTCTGTGTGGCCTCGGGAGATGATGAGGGCAGGGAGTCAGATTGGGACCTGGAATATAGCTGCCCTGGGCACAGTCCCTTGCATTGAGTTCCCTGGTTCATCACTGTGATGTTAGCATACCCTCTGTTCTGGCTACCTGTTCTATGCTGAATTTCATTAATGAAAACTCCCCACCTTGTTTGTTTTAGGTAGTGGAATTCGACACTCCGTCTGCCCTTCTGTCCAATGAGAACTCGCGCTTCTATGCCATGTTTGCTGCTGCAGACAACAAGGTTGCTGTCAAGGGCTAAAATTCAGGATAAAGTCACTTTAATTTGGAGGGTTCCACTCCCTGCCTGTGGCAGGCCAGCTCCTTCCTCCTCCTCCTCCTCCTCCTAGCAGATTATTGCCTTTTCATCTTTTTAATTTTTAGCACAATGTGTCAAACCTGGAGACTTTTTAAGACCCTGTAAGAATTCTTCCTGTTTTTATTGTATTTATTCCATATTCATATTACTAAATTTTTTTGTTACTAAATGCACTCTACAAATGGCTCAGGGAGCCATAGTTATAAATGTATCAGAGGCCTATAATGAAGCTTTATACATGTAGCTATATCTATACATAATTCTGTACATAGCCTATATTTACAGTGGAAATGTAAGCGGTTTATTTTATATTAAAATGAGCACTGTATTAATAACAGTGCATATTCTTTTCTATAATTTTTGTACAGTTTACGGTACTAGAGAGCTGGCTTTGTTATCAGACTGTATCAGACACCATTTAGTCTCTTACAGCTGGTCTTTTCATAGTGCCGGATTTTCTGCGTGTCTGAATGGAAGTGAAGCTTTGCAGTAGTGTCCTTCAATGTCCCATCGTTCTCGTCCTGCACAGGGGGGAAGGGCTCTGTGGTGTAACTCTATTGCATCGTAACTATTGTCAAAGCTGTTTGGAGCATCACTATTGTTCATGGTGGCAGCTGCTGCTGTTGCTTCCCATGATGCTTTCCCAGGGTAGCTTTTTTATGATCCCCTGAGTGGTTCAGGGAGAAGACCACTTCTGGGTCACAGGAAAGTTCCACGATCACTCCGTGTCCTGGTGCAGTGATGGGAATGTAGCAGCTCTTTCGCGTGCAGTGTCCTGGGGCAATAATGGGAATGCAGCACCATTCCCTAATGTATCAATGGAGTTCGGGTTTTGTTTCCATTAAAATAATCAAACTCCTGCTTCGCTGATCTAACTCGTGACCAGAATCTAAATGTTCATAGAACAACCTGCAGTAAAACAATCGCCCTCTGACGTTCAAATCCAAACCCTGGGTTGCTGGCAGTAAAGTCTTTTCTTTCCTGAGCTGCTCCAGCTGAATCCTTTATCTTGAGGCTGCTAATGCTCTTTACAGGTTGAGGTTGGTTCTTATTGGCATACATAACACTCACCCTTCGTGCTGTTCACTTACACTAAGCTTAAAATACATCAGCGTTTCCTGTTTTGGTCTTGCACACTTATTACCTTAACAACACCCTGAAGTCTTCTGCAGCTTTGAACAGGTTCCTGCTGATCAGGGTGTGACACTGGAAGGAAGCTCTTTTCTTACTGTAAAGAGACCTACCTCAGGTTGCTGAGTCCTCTGTGGTACGTTACCATGATTACTGTACACCATCCCTGTTCTGTGGGGCCCCGGTGGGCGCGGTCACTCCAGTTATAGCTGTGACTTATTGAATGGTCAGCATTGCATGTCTTTGTCAACTTGGACATTTTGTAGCCTTAGCATGTTCGCAAAATGTCTCATCGAGGCAAAAATCTGAAAAAGTGAATAAAACTATTTTGGGTTTTGTAAACTCTTGTTGCGTGAAGCTGTTTCTTTGAGGCACATAAATCGCTGTTGAGCCGCAGGCCTGTTGCGGCCGTTGGCGGAGCTCCACTGCTGAAGAGTTCTCACAATCGGGGGTTTCTCTTGAGGCATCAAGCTGGAGCTGACTTTCCCTTTAGGACAGATCAGTTTCTTTAAGAGTACAGTGGATTATTTCCACATTGCCCAGTACGGAGGTGCTACAAGTTTAAGTGCTGAGCCAGACAGGGGGCATAGGGGACTCCAGTCTGGCATTAATGAGATTCTGCCCTGTAGTAAGAGTGAGGCCTGAGAAGGGAGTGTAGAGCTTACTTAACCACCCTGATAGCCTAGACTGGATCCTGTTTATGCCCACGTCTCCTCAAACACCCGTTCTCTACCCACACCAACTCTTGTATTTCCGGTTGTGTCACATACAGATTTGAAGGATCTAGGCCTGAGTATAATAGCAAAGAAACTGGGGCTCACAGCTCAGCCATCACTACCACAGGGAAACCACAAAAGTAGAAAAGCTTTCTGGGTGTTGGCATGCAGATGAGCAGCTCAGAAAGCATCGTTCGCTTCTAGTTGTTCGCTTCATGTTTGTTTGTATTTTATGATCTACTGAGACCACAAGTCACAGATTCGTTAATGAAGAGTGGAGTGGAGCCTTTCACCCAAATCCGTAGTTTGGACAGTTCTTGAAAAATCTGCTGTTTTGCCCCACCCTCAGCCTCAATGCAATTGCCAAGTTCAGTTCACACCAACGAGCTAGCACAGGGGCTCCTGCCTTCGGTTCCTAAGCAGAAAGAAAAATATGGAGATGCAGGGAGAACTCAATCAGAAGGTGCAGCTGGGCCCACCCCAGGGCTGTGGAGGTTTCTCCAAGCTGCTGTCACTCCCCCCACGCTTTCACCAACCCTGCTGCCCCTTGCTGAATAGACGTGTCCTCAACAAAAGGGGGAGTGGAATTTGGAGTCAGCATGGGTCAGAGCCACGTTTCCTGTACCCCATCCCTAGAGAGGTGGGCCTCTGCCTTTGAGGGATTTACTTACATTTAGATCTAGCAAACCTCCCTCTTTCACCTACTTCTCTCCCCCCACGCCCCACCTGCAAAAAAAGAAGTTTCATAGAGACAGAAACAAGTGAGTATAACGTGTGAGAAGCTTGTTACTTCTTGGTTCAAAACGGTTCCTGCCCCTTTCCCATCCTGTGGCAGTAGCATCCATGTTCCCTTGTAATCAGAAAGCAAGTTATGCGGGATATAAAGGCTTCAGAATTGGGACCTGGAGGTATTTGTTATGCATAAGGTGCTATTAGTGGTGCTAACCGAGGCTGATGGTGTATCCCCTCTCCACTTAGGGTGACTAGACAGCAAGTGTGAAAAATCGGGACCGGGGTGTGTGTGTGTGTGTGTAATAGGAGCCTATATAAGAAAAAGACCCCAAAATCGGGATTGTCCCTATAAGATTGGGACATCTGGTCACCCAATCTCCACTCCACGCTGCAATGTTGCTGCAGGGGATAAGTGACCAGAAAGAAGTATAGCTACCCCCTCCATAAACACACACACATACATCAAAGGTGACAAGTTCCCATCATAGCCACAGCACAGAGGGTGACCAGATTTTGAAAATTAAACAGGGCCTGTTTTCTTAATCCAGTGGGGTCTGGAAGCTGGAGGCTAGAGCAGGTGATGGACACTTATCACTGTGATTGGGAGGAGAAGGTAGCTACATTTCTATCTGCACTGCAAGCACCCTGGCAAAACAGTGTTCCTTACTTAACTTCAAGGAAGCCATGGGGGTGGAGGGGCTAGGAAGAGAGCAGTGGAAATCAGCAATTTTATTGTACCCTGGCAAGACAAAGGTTTCAAATTTGCAACTGGATGGTTTTGGGCAATGAGATCCAAGGTTCCAGGGGGACCTGTAGCAATTCCACGTGGGCAGTGGCTGGATGTCTGAGAAGCTGCACATCGATGCACCCTGCACTCCTTCATGGAGTCCAGGCAGTGCTGCTCGAAGCACCATTCTTGAGTAGACTCCCTCTCCTGCTGCTGGGGAAGCTAGTGCCAGGCCCTCTGCATCCACTACGAGAGAAAGTACCCAAGGTCGAGCACCGCACCGGCTCCCAATATTCTGCCCTGGTGCTACCATGCCAGCCTATGACCCTGTTTGCCAATGCTGCTGCGACCACAGGGTTTGAACTGGAGCGCTGTCATTCTACACTCACAGACCAGAAGGAACGCTGGTAGGGACAGTTGGAACCGGGCCTGGTCGTGGTGGCAGTTTGGAGTGGGATGGGATGGGGTGGGGTGTTTGAACTGGGACAGTTGGGAAGGGCAGTTGGAACTAGGCATGTGTGAACAGCTAGTCAGGAAGTAGCAGTTTAAATTGGGACCTGTGGATCTGCATTAGTTGGGAGTGACAGGTCACAGGAGAGTAAGGGCTTGTCTACACGTGGAAAGCTACAGCTGTTCTGCTGTAGTCTACCTACACCCATGAGAGGGGTTCTCCCATCAGCATAGGTCATCCACCACTCCAAGAGGCGGTAGCTAGGTCTACAGAATTCTTCCATCAGCCTAGCATGTCCACAGCAGGGGTTAGGTGGGTATAGGTACATTGCTCAGGGCTGTGGATTTTTCACACCCCTGAGTGACACAGCTGGGCCGACTTAACTTTTTAGTGCAGACCAGGAGTGAGTTTGAACTGGAGAGAGGGAGCTGAGCCATCGGGGGAGTTGGGGCACCTGGGAGGGAGAATGAGAAATGGCTGGTAAGAAAGGGTCCTTTTGAAGGGAATTTGAAAAGGGGATGATGGCTGGGAGCAACAGATGGGATTTAGGGCTGATTTAGGGCAGCTGGGACTGTGACGGTTTTTTGGTTGTGGGGAGAGATGGTCTGACTGGCAGTTGTTGTGGAGGACATTTTGAATGGGGTTTTGGGGAGGTGACAGTTGGGAATAGGGATGTTCGAATGTGGGCAGTTGGGAAGGGCAGTTTGAATTGGGCACTGGGACTGGGAGAGCTGGGATGGGGTGCAGCGTGTTTATCTGTGGAAGTTAACAGACCACTGGGCGGAGCGGGTGTGAAGAAGGACAGCATCAGAGAGGCCTTGTTGTCATCCTCAGGGGACCATGGGCAAGGGCCAGGGTAGCACTGCTGCCACTTGGGTTTGTGTCCTGCCTGTCCCCAGCAGTGTAAATTCCTCTCTGGGAGACAGTAGGCTCTGGGCAGATCAGGGGTTTTGGGCAGCCATTCTGGAGGAGGAGGTGTCTGTGTCATGAGTGGACACCAGGTGCGGGCTGCCCAGCTGGAGGAGGGGGGCAATTGTGTTGTGGATGGACACTGGCTCAGGGTCATTCCCTGCAGGAGGGGGTGTCGGGGGGGGGTGTGGACACCGGGCATGGGCGGTCCCCTGGAGGAG